GCAGGAAGGGAGAAACAGTCCACTGCAATGGCATCCAACCGTACAAGCATAAAATCCACCATTTAGGAAAAGCTGCTGGAGGGACTGTATGCACTAAAGCCACTGTTAGTAACAGAATTCATTTCTTATTCCATGTCTGAAGAAAAAAATATGTTTTAATCCTGTGAGTCTTAGCTTTGACAAGTTACTATCTTTAAAACAAACATGGTAAAACCCAAAGATTTTGTACAAACTGTCACCCACTGTAATTTCTCAATCGGTATTTTAATGATAGGGAAAAAGAGAACACTGTGGATTACTTTTCTGCAAATTACCATGTACAGAAATTAGAATGTTATGTCATATAGTGTGCTGCAATCATTAGAGCTTCTTTATGGTTGATTATTACTGATACTTTATAAATATTCTAGTATACAAATATACCACAGCACATTTGATAAAAATAAGCCCTAATTGCAGAAGGCTCTTGCTTCAGCCTTTCAGCAGCTAAATACCAAATGTATTCATCCACACTCAGTGATTATTTTGGAGACAGTCACATTTTTATTCATGAATTTGAACCACTCTGAGCACCGTATAGTGCAGCTTGATTCCAAGAGAGGATTTCTGTCTCTGCATTCATCTTGATTGTAACCACTGAAACTCAGAGCGAATTTTCAGGTTCAACTGCAAGGCCAGGATAATTATCATTGAGGATAATAAAAGACAATCTGTTTTGATTTTGAGTGGGGTTTTTTTTGCAAGAAGACATTATTAATGCAATTGTAATGGTTCATATTTACATTCATAATTCTGACCCCTTGCACTTAATACTGCATACACGTTTTGTTCTGCAGCACCAAGTACCATGCCATCTTCCTATTCTTATCCATCAGAGATGGCTTTATTTTCTTCTATTAAGATGTAAATTAGTTCTTATGAATTTATGTGGATTTTGTGTTTGTTTAAGAGTACTTCTTACCTTTATAGCCAGTGTGATATCAGCATACGCGCAAAATCCTCCACCTTTGTCACTTGAACAGTGATGAAAACCACCCCCTAAACATAAAAATGTTGAAGAGGTGAAAGGCTAGACACTAATGAACACAGATGGTCTCTGCAATGAGACAGAGACCACTTCCATGTCAGGCACTTATTTTTTAATTTAGCAAATGTGGTGCCCAGAGCTGTTAAGCCCTTACCTCATAACACAAAACATCTCACAGAGTTTCTGAACATATTTTATGCGGTGCCTACCAGACCATCGGGTAAAGGATTGGTCGATGCCCAGATTAGAAGGAATCACAGATTCATCCAGCAACCACCCTAAGAACTGAGAAACTACACACGTAACACGTGGTGCCTCCATGACAAAGTATGTGGTTTTGAAAGGAGTGGCTGGAGAGCTGCTCAGCAGAGA